GTGAAACAGTACTATGAAGTTGTTTTGTCAATATAATGAGCTTTTGTTAGTATATAACAAATTTGTGGCGTTGTTTTATTACTGTTTTATACAGTTTTTAACATTAATAACATAAAACACAAATAGATTTAAACATTATTGTCATAAAACTTTAAATATGATATTTGCGCAAAAACATGCCATATCCATGAATACAGTTAGAGAAAAAAAGCAATTGCTTTTAATCAGCATTTTTGGAGTAATTTGCTCAGCTTTAAGAGAATATGAGCAAAATTGCTCAAATTTTTACTCACATTAGGCTGAGCAATTTACTCCATAAATGCTGAGTAATTGCTCAGCTTTACATGAATAAAAATTTGATGAAAATTTTATTCATGTAAAGCTGAGCAATTACTGAGTAAAAGCATTTTCTGTATTTTGTAATCACCCGCCCTCATATTTTGTAATCACCCGCCCTCATATTTTGTAATTACCCGCCCTCATATTTTGTAATCACCCGCCCTCATATTTTGTAATCACCCGCCCTCACATTTTGTAATCACCCGCCCTCATATACTAAACAAGATTAAAGCAAAAAAATATTAGAATACATGTTTTTTTTAACTTGCTTCTTGATTTAGCATACTAAAAGTATAATTAATTTTTTTCATTTAAATGGTTTTTAAGTTGGTTTTTTCATTTAATTTTTTTTATTTATATTGTTTAACTGTAAATAGTGAGAGAAAAAATTTGTTTTTGAGAGTTTTTGGTCAAATTATATTTTCATTAGTTTAAGTATATGCTTAAATTATTTTTTTAGAAAAATTTTTCTAATAACCAATTAGAATTAAGTAGTGGATAAATGGTGATCCCCCTCCTCAGGAATGCACTGCGATCACCAATGACGTTTCGGAGAGCCCGAGACCTGCACTAAAGCCACTTGTCAGGGGCATGTCCTTGCAACAGATCTTACCGCCTGCACTCTATGTCATGCTAGTCAATATTGCAATATAATAGAACTACACTACAAAAGCCAAAAAACCAAATCCCTATCCCAGTGTTTTAAAAACAGCTCCAACATTCTTAGAGATCTCGTGAGGGTGGTGAGGGATGCTAACACGCCCATGCTAACTGTACTCAAAAACTCACAAGAGTTAGCTATACAAATGCTTCTTTTTATATCTTATGTTGTTAACTCATAAAAAGCTTCTAAATAAAAACTATTTTAACATAAGATATTTCGAATAGAATATAAAATTTATATAAACTTTATATTTTCATTTTCACTTTATATTTTCATTGACGCTAGTGAGGGATGCTAACACGAAAAAATTTGGGCAAATATTTTCATTAGTTCAAGTATACACCTCATTTTTGAGATAACTTTTTGTGATGGCGAAGAAATGCATAAAACCAACCTTTTGCAGGACGGTTGTTAGTAAATTGTGTTTTTATATTGTTGGAATTCAAGTATTTTTGCACAGTATCTAATAGCTGTACTACAGACATGGCAAATCCCATTCTGGTGCATGTTAGTAACCACTCGACTAATTTATTTTCAATGTGTTCACCTAGTACCGATTCATAACCGCAGTGTTGTATCTTCAGAGAAGTTTTCCAGATATTTTATCATGAAGCGTCTGATAAGGAATTTCAAACAACCATACCTTTTTTTAACAGCATTAATAGCATCTCTTAATTGGCTATTTGTATATTGAAGTCTTCGTATTGAGCTACAAACTTTTGTCTTATATTTTTGTCTTGCTATTGTAAAAGAATCTAAATGAAATAGTTTTTATTTTTATAGTAAAAAAGAAACAAATTGATTATTTATTGGACATACGATATGTATGGAATGACATTTTTTTAGTTCATACTTATCGTACGTTCAAAAATACTACATTGATACTATAATGATGAGTGGTTTTAATAATATTAATAATGATTCATGTTTTATTTACCTGATTAAGTCAATTTAGAAATAAAATTTTATAATAATTTTTTAAATTTTCTTGTTTTGTTTGAAACGCTTCTAACAGCTGGTACTTAAAAAAAAGTATTTGCATAGGCTGACGTAATAATCCCAATGAGTTCATATAAGTAACTATGTATTGCGGTTTTTATGTATTGTAATAGAAGTGCATGACAATGTTGTTGATACACAAAATAAAGAAAGAAAAAAAAAATTACTACATTTTGCAAAATTTATGTTAGTATTTAAAACCTACGATTAGTGTCGACTCACGGTCGGTGTGAAAACGACCCTATATGCTTAAATTATTTTTTTAGAAAAATTTTTATTGAACAAACAGTAGAAAAATTTAATATAAATTTTTTATAATTTAATTTTTGGTTAAATGTTTGCAGTAATCACTGGTTTAATGCTTGCAATAGATTGTTTCTGCTTTTAAAACTGTTTTCAAGAAACAAATAGTAATGACTAAGTAATTGATCAGTCAAATATTTTTTACCTTTATAAAAAATATTTAACTGATTAAAATGATTTCGATTTAAATAAAACTTTCTTCCTCACCACTATCTTCTAAATCTGATATTGTTACTATAGCTAGATCTATGTTTGAAATACAGGAATGATCCTCATTATGCCACTGGGTATTATGTACGTCACTGCAATTAAATTTATAATTACTGCCGCAAGCATTAAAATTTTTATAAATTAAAAAAAAAAATTATAATTTTAAATCTCTTTTTTAAAATTATTTGAATAAAAGAATTTTAGAAGGCTAAAATTCTCTTGTTTAAATAGATTTCTTTTTAAAAAACTTCCTAAAAAACAACTTGCATATTTGTAGAAAATATTTAATCTTGTTATTTGTAGAAAATATTTAATCTTGATATTTGTAGAAAATATTTAATCTTGATATTTGTAGAAAATATTTAATGTTGATATTGCTTTAAATAAAATGAAAATATAAAGTTTATATAAATTTTATATTCTATTCGAAATATCTTAAAATAGTTTTTATTTAGAAGCTTTTTATGAGTTAACAATATAAGATATAAAAACAGGCCTCGGCGGGAAGCTTTAGCTCTCGCTCTTGCCACACTCCCCTAAAACAGTTTACAGGAGCAATTTACGGCTCTCTCAAAAGTATAATTTTTCTCATGAAGGTATAATTAAAATTACAAAAGAGTGCTAATTTAAATGAGGAGCAGCTCGCACAGCTCCCCAAATTTGTTTTAAAAGAGCTTTTCTCAGCTCTCGTGCTCATTTGTTCCCGCCGAGGCCTGTAAAAAGAAGCATTTGTATAGCTAACTCTTGAGAGTCTTTGAGTACAGTTTATTAAGTTCTGAATAGTAAATTTAATAGTTGAGTACTTAACTGTAATAACTGTTTTGACTTCATAGGTAAATTTGCTGTGATGTCAATACTGCATTTGTTTTGTTCATAGGTAAATTTACTGTGATGTCAATACTGTATTTGTTTTGTTCATAGGTAAATTTACTGTGATGTCAATACTGTATTTGTTTTGTTCATAGGTAAATTTTCTGTGATGTCAATACTGTATTTGTTTTGTTCATAGGTAAATTTACTGTGATGTCAATACTGTATTTGTTTTGTTCATAGGTAAATTTACTGTGATGTCAATACTGTATTTGTTTTGTTCATAGGTAAATTTACTGTGATGTCAATACTGTATTTGTTTTGTTCATAGGTAAATTTTCTGTGATGTCAATACTGTATTTGTTTTGTTCATAGGTAAATTTACTGTGATGTCAATACTGTATTTGTTTTGTTCATAGGTAAATTTACTGTGATGTCAATACTGTATTTGTTTTGTTCATAGGTAAATTTACTGTGATGTCAATACTGTATTTGTTTTGTTCATAGGTAAATTTTCTGTGATGTCAATACTGTATTTGTTTTATTCATAGGTAAATTTACTGTGATGTCAATACTGTATTTGTTTTGTTCATAGGTAAATTCACTGTGATGTACTTTAAATCAAACTAAGTTTAAATTAAAAATAAAAGTTTTAGAAGTTTTTAGAATAGAATATTATTATAAAAGTAGTAGGATACTATTGGCATCCATACTGAGATTTAAATTAATTTAAATTCAAATTGGTTTATGTTGAATGAAATAATCAGCGCAAGAGAGATCGTATTTAAAAGAATAATTTAGTGCGATGTACTTTATGACCCTGTGACGTACTTTATGTACTTTATTAAAAAAAAATATATTTATTAAAAACTAAAAAATATTAAAAACTAAAAAAAAAATATTCAATACTTTAAAGAATGTCCAAAAAAAAATGCTAAATTAGAAAAGAAAAAAAATAACACAAAAAAAACTAGTTGCAAAAATATATAAATATTTTTTTAAATCTAATCGTGAAGGTATAAAAAGCAATCGGGATTCGTGATAAGCTTAATTCAAGCCCTGTTCTAGTGTTTTTTATAAATCGCCACAAAACAAAACTACCCCACCACAAAATTAAAAATAGGTTTTCTAATTTCTTTTGAGATTCACAGAGTAGTATTGTTGTCTAGTATTGTGTTAGTTACTATTATAATACCCAAAAGGAAACCTTTTTGTTGTTCAAAATAATGTGACAAGTATTTTTTTTCTAATCTAGTGAATAGGGAAAAGATATTTTTGATGTTCCACGGTCAACTAGTGGTATTATTTTGTTTCATTGAGTATTTGGATTTGTTTAATAAAAAAATAAATGATTTTGTTAAGGTATGGACACCAGGCATAACAAAAATGATTTTGTTAAGTTCCGGACACCAGGCATAAAATGAAGTAAAATAACTAAATGGAATTTAATTACAAAATAAATAGGCTAACATCTTAACGATATTAACAATTGTTAGTTTAAAAAGCTTGACAGATTATCCAATAATAAATAGAAATAATATTTACAAATTTTTTTGTTTTTATAATAAATTTTTATTTTTTATTGTAAAAATTATTCATTTTAATGTCTTAATATCTTTTTACATTCATTATATACATGTTACATATTTTTGTATATTATATAATTTTTCTTTAGTCTAACCCTGCAGTAGTTGGTACATTAGAAAGTAGATTACATGGGTTACAAACTGGCGATAAAGTGTTACTCAAAGGCATAAATGGCATGTTACAACTAAATTTCAAAACATTTATTGTTCAATATTTAACACCATATACTTTCAGCATTGATTGTGATACTTCAACTGATGACTATCAGATTTATGAACATGGTGGTGTGTTTTGCAAAATAAAAACTCCTACCATTATGAATTTTCAAAGCTTGGAAATGCAGCTTACAAACCCTAGTATATTATTATGTGATTTATCAAAGTTAGAATATCCATTACAAACTCTGCTTGCGTTTCAAAGTCTGTATAAATACATTTCTCAGAAGCAAACATTAAACAACCTGCATACAGCTTTTAATGAGTTGTATGACATTTCAATAAGCATAAACAGCAAGGTAACTAATTCTGAAATTTTAACAATTTTATCGAGAACTGGAAGTGGTGTATTTGCACCATTATGTGCTGTCATTGGAGGAATTATTTCACAAGAAGTTCTTAAGTGTCTTACTAGTAAATTTACACCACTTTATCAGTTTTATATTTTGGATGCTATGGAGCTTTCTAGTTCAAATAATAGGAGTGAAGTTGCAAATAATCGATATTTTTCGCTGAATGTATGTTTAAGCCCAGATCTAGTTAAAAAAATGTCAGAGCTATCTTTATTTATGGTGGGATGTGGAGCCATTGGTTGTGAGTTGTTAAAGAACTTTGCGTTAGTTGGTTTAGCCACAAAAGGTGACAGCATTTTGACTATCACTGATAATGACTTAATTGAAAAGTCTAATCTTAATAGGCAGTTTCTCTTTCGTCCTTGGCATATACAAGTAAGAATTTGCTCTTTATATCTCTTTTGTTATTGGCATATTCAAGTAAGAATTTGCTCTTTATATCTCTTTTGTAATTGACATATTTAAGTAAAAAGTATATCTTTTAATCTCTTTAAATTTTTTATAGCAATTGTAGATTTTTTTTTTTTGGTTTATTAAGCAATCAAAATCATTAGTCGCTTCAAAAGAAGTTTGTGTGATTAATCCAGGTAGTTTTAGTAAATAAATGTTAATATGTTATTAATCTTAATATAATTAATATATTATTAATGTTTAAATAGAACTGAATTTTGCTTAAATTGTTAAAGTATTATTTTCTTTGTAATTGTTATTATTGTTTATTATTGTTTGTTATTATTCTTTATAATTGTTTTTTTTTTATTTTGGTTTAGATATAAAGATTGAAGCACATCAAAATAAAAGTTACTTTTTTATTTTACTTAAACTATTTATTTTCAGTATTTTCTTTTAAAAACCTTTAAAAAAATTGTTCTTTATCACTTATTTGTTATAGTTATACCATATATATATATATATATATATATATATATATATATATATATATATATATATATATATATATATATATATATATATATATATATATATATATATATATATATATATATATATATATATATATATATATATATATATATATATATATATATATATATATATATATATATATATATATATATATATATATTTGAACAATTGAAAATGTATTCTACAAAAAGAGTGCTCAATGTTCTTAAAAGAACAGAGCAATTACAAATTAGTAGAAAATCACTTAGCAAAATTTTTTCTCATTTAACACTGTGTTTCATCAATCTAGAATCATCAGAAATGATGAGTCTTTATTTATCATTTCTGATGAGTCTTTATTGATGAAACACAGTGTTAAATGAGAAAAAATTTTGCTAAGTGATTTTCTACTAATTTATATATATATATATATATATATATATATATATATATATATATATATATATATATATATATATATATATATATATATATATATATATTTCATGTATTGGTTATTTTTTAGTTGTTTTTAAGAAGTAGTTTGTTTAAATGTTATTTAAAACACCACATTAAACACATTAACATTTGCTACTTCCAAATAATAACAATGTTATGACTTGAAATTAGTATCAATGGTTATGTAAAGTTTTTCTATTAATAACATTGTAACAAATAGCTAACTTAGTACTGTTATAAGTAGCAGTTAATTTTTCTTAATTCCTAAATGAAGCTATTTGAAGCCCATGAGTTTTATGTTTTTCAAAATTTTTATAAACTATAAATCATTTGTATTTTTCTTCATTAGCAGTTCTTACTAAACTGTTTACTGCATATATTATACAGTTTGATTTCAGATTTCTTAGAAGGAATATATTATATAATTTGTTTCCTGGCTATTCTCTTCGTTTATCTTTCAGGATGTCACAGCCTTTTAATTTTATGTTATTGTAATTATTTTACCTTAGTGTACTAATTTTATATATCAGACCAAAACTACTTCAAATAGTTGTGTTAGGTGTGGGTTTAAAAAATCCTAACTAAATTTTAAAATCTTAAAGGTTGATATAAATTTTCATAGCTTTTTTCTGTATTTGAGAGCTTTATATTCAGGTGCATATTTTACAGTGCTTTACTTTTTATATATACTCTATTGTTTATTTACCCTTTTTTATATACTCTATCCTTTTTTAGACCATTTTCTTTTTGTTGACTTTTATGTCATTTATGATTTCCATAACAATAAATCAAATATCGAAATGGTTAAAAAAACAGGAGAATTTAAAAGTATTTTCAAGTATATTTTCTTCCCGAATAATTATAATTATGATTTAATTAAAACTTATTTAATATTAATTATTATTTAATTACTTTAATAGATTTTTTATTTTAAATTTTAAAGTTTTATTTTAAATTAAATCATATTCAGTGAATAGTTAAGCTAATATTTTGAGTAGTTTGTTCTAACTCTAGTAGAATATGAAATTATTCTCTAGAATAAATACTTTTTTTTATCATATTCTCTGAAATAAATAATTTTTCATTGGACAATAAATGTGTAATAGTTCATAAGAATAATTCATTCTAATTTATTGGATGATAAAAAATAATAAATCCATAATTATATTTTAGTTTCAGTTGACACTGAAAATATCTACAATGATCATTTTTTTCAAAAAATGGGTATTATCATAAATGCTTTGGATAACATTGAAACAAGACGATATATAGATGGGTAAAATAATTTTAAATTTGTACTTTGGGGTGGTCCACAAATTATATCACGCAATTTTTGACCATTTTAAACCAACTCCTCTCCCCCCCCTCCTCCATCACAACATCATAAGTCTTTAGTAGCAAGTTTTTTATAAGTTGTCACAAAAACATTACCCCTACCCCCCTAACCCCTAATGGGTGAGGTAATTTATGGAGATTTTTCAATCATTAAAACTCAATTTTTTAAAATGTGTTTTTATGCTTTTATAAAATTACCATTTATTAATGCAGTAAAGTTTTTGTTTTTTATGTATCATTTTTTGTTTTTCATTCATCATTTCTTGTTGTGCAAGCATCATTTTTTGTTCTTTGTGCATATTTTTTTGTTGTTCATGCATCATTTTTTGTTCTTTGTGCATCATTTTTGTTTCTCATGCATCAATTTTGTTTTTCATGTGTTATTTTTTTGTTTTTTGTGTATTTTTTACTTTTCATGCAACATTTCTAATGCATTGTTTTTTGTTTTTCATGCATCATTTTTTATTCTTCATGCATTATCTTTTATTCTTTGTCCATCTTTTTTTTTCCTTGTGTCTCATTTTTTGTTCTTCATACATCATTTTTTAATCTAGATTTTTTTTTTATGCTAGGAGATGTGTTTCTAACACAAGACCATTAATTGAGACAGGTACCATGGGAACTAAAGGTCATGTTCAGGTAAACTTTAATACTTTAACTAAAAAATTTCATTTTTTTTTTCAATAAAAGTTTTTGTTACTAAAATCTAAAAATAATTATTTTTTAACTTTATAATTATTTTTGTATTTAAATGATTATCATTTTTTATTGGCTTTAGGTTATTGTGCCTCACTTAACTGAGACTTATTCTAGTCAGGTAACATTTTTTTATTTCCAATTAGTCCGTAAACATTTATGTTTTTTACAGAAATGAGTAGTCTCAAAAGAGATCTGCAGTTTGCAGCTAAATGTTAATTATTTTTGCTTAAACTCTAAAGTCTTTGAGACTGGGTTTGAAAATGAAAGGTACCAGAAATTTTAAAGTTCTGTTTTTCTTTCTATGAAATTCAGCAGTTTTGACCTCTTGTATTACTCTCAACAAGGCTACAATTAACCAATAGTTGGTAATTAAAAGAAAGTATAGTTTGAATTAAAGAACAAAAAAGCAATTAACAGAAGGCTTAAAAATCTCTGAATCAGAAAAACATAAACACGAAAGTAAATTTCAGAGCTTAAGGAAAAAAACTATATAAACAAAAATTTTTTGAGCATGAAGTAACAGTTACAATAAAAGGATGAAATTTTGCTAAATGACAAATCATGGTATATTGAGTTTTGGTTGATGGAACAAGTTATGATAGTTCACTTGAGAAGATAGAGCAATAACCGCAATAAAATATTTGAATCACATAATTATTTCAAAAAAAGTTAATGATTTCAAAAATCAGTTGAGCAACAAACAAGGTAGTATTTGTAGAAAAGAGAAAAATATGCAACTTTAAAATGATGTCCCATTGTTGTCGAACAAGACCAAGGGCGGAGCCTTGTGGTACCTCTGAAGTTAATAAAAATAAAAGAGAGTATTATCCATAAAGTTCATTTTTAGTTCTGCTAAAGAAAGAAATGATTCAATAAATTCACTAAAATAACTTTCACAGATATACTATGTGAACTTATGTAGAAGACAAGTATTTTGAAAGACTTTGGTAAGTCAAGACCAATAGCTGTTGCATGACTGTATATATCTAATGCTCAATATAAGCTTTCTACATAATAATATTTATTTTTGTTAAAGTAATATCTGTGCTATGTTATAAAATATATTGTTTATTTCTGTTTCAATATGGTATGATAAAACATTTGAATAGTATTTAAATGTTTTTATCACTAAACTAATTTTTTTTTAATGTTATCAGGTAATTGTAAGTTATTTCTACATCATTTGTAACTTAGAAAGTCAATATATAATAAAATATGAAGATAATATAAGCAAAACATTGAAGTTGTGGTGGAGATTAAACTATGTTCAATCTCCATCATATTCCTGTTAGTATTGTGCTACATTCATGTTATGCAGCAAAAAAAAAAAAATTTAATAAATTTCTAAAGATAAGAAACGATAAAAAGAAAATTTTTTTTAATGAGACAAGAACACAAAATTAAATTGAATATTAAAATTGAATATTATGGTAGTTAAAGGAATTTGTTTTATTCTAATTTACAAACTATGAAGTTCTCCAGGGCTCTATATTTGAACCCTTCTTATTCATATTTACATAATTGATAAAGATAAAGGTTCAAATTTGATGGGAGTCATGTTTGCTGACAAACCTAACCTTTTTTTGATTAATAGTATAACAACATTATTTCAAAATAATAGTGAAAATTTTTGATTGTTTTAAAATGAATTACTTAGCTTTCTCTAAATGTAAAAAAACAAAATGGACACTTTTTCATCCAGCTTCTAAAACAAAATTAACACTTTTTCATCCAGCAAACAAAGCTACTAAATTGCGTTATTTACTTTTTTTTTTTTTTTTTTTTTTTACTTTTTGGTAGAAAAAAGTCAAATAAAAGCAGTAACTAGTAGAAACCTTTGTTTAGAAAATTTATATTCATTAAAAGATAAAAATAAATACAATTTAAGAAATAGTAATTTAAATTGGCAATGTTTTTTTAAAATTAATTTCAAAAAGGTCAAGCATTTCATTTTGTGGAGCTTTTCTTTGTAATAAAATAGTAAAACTTATTTCTTATTTTGTAATGATTTTTTATTTTAATTTTTTTATTGTTAAAACACTGAAATGTGTAATAAAACAATAAAAAGTATTTTTAGTTTTGCTTTAGTATAACAATACAACATATTTAAATATATTTCAATTGTATGTTTTAAATTTCTTTTTTATATGTATTTCTATATTTTAATTTTTTTTATAAGTTGTAAAAAGTTTCAGAAAATTTATTCAAAAATCATTTTGTTAATAATCTTATTTAATAATACTTGTTTCTTAATAATACTATTATCATTTATTATAAGTTAAATTTTTATTTTTAATTAATGTTATTATTTAACTTATTAATATTTAAATTATTTAATTGGTTGTTAATTAAAGCTTTTGATTCTGTTGTTTTAGCGTGATCCAGTTGATGAAGATATACCATATTGTACCTTAAAGTCTTTTCCTCAACAGATAGAACACACAATTCAATGGGCAAGAGACAAAGTAATTAAATATAAAAAGTATTATTAAATTATAAAATAAATTATAAATTATTATTAAAAATTAAAAGTAAATAAATGTTTTGATTTTTGATATTTTATATTGATATTTTAATTTTTTTTTTCATAAAATGACATTTTTTTTTTTTTAATACTGTTTCATTTTTATAAATTTGGGAAGTATTATTATTATTATTATTTTTTTAGTTTGATAGCTTGTTTACTTATGAACCAGAAGTTTACAATAAATTTTGGGATAAAAACGAAGACATGAATGAAATAATTAAGGTGTGTATAATTATGTTTTATCATTATTATTCAATTTTTGCATTAATATATTTTTGCATTAATATATAAAACAAGAAAAATAATTGTTATAAGTTTATTAAAAAGAATTTTGAAGAAAATCATCAGATACCTGATGGTTTTGTTGTTTCTGCATCGTTGTTGAAAAAAAAACCTGCAAACTTTGAATGCTGTGTTAAAGAAGCCTACCTCAAGTTTTATAGCTACTTCCATAATAAGGTTACATTTATTAAGCATATAGCTATTTCCATAATAAGGTTACATTTATTTAAGTTTATATTATTACATTATTTATTTAAGTTTATTATTATTATATTATTTAAACACTTTTTTTTTAACTCTATCAAATTGTTACTTAAAAGTTATGTTTGTATTTCATCAAATTTTATTTTCATACTTTTTTCTAATTATTTTAGGCACTTCAGCTGCTAAATTCTTTTCCACTTGACACAAAGATGGCAGATGGAAGTAATGTTTTTAAATTTTAATTTCAAAATATTTTTAATGAAAATGTTAAAAAATAAAAATATCACAGCATTGTATTGACAAAGAATTTTTAGCTTTAAATTTTTAAACTTAACTAAGTTTATAATTGTGTAATTATAATATGTATTGCATTTAAATGGAGTACCAAACTATCAGGGACATGGTAAGAATTAAATACTTCTTATTTACAACACTACTTTTTTTAAAACTAATAAATATATTATAAAGTTATAAGCTATGAAATATAAATACAAAATTATGAATTATATAAAAAAGAAAAACAATACTTTTAGAAAACATAGCACTATTAATACCAAGTACACGTAAAATATTTCAGAAAATCTTAGAACAGTAAATTTAAGAAAGATGAAACTCCTTAAAATAGTTAAAATTTGTATAAGCAGCTGTTTCAGAACATAAGATCATAATTTTTATGATGCAAAATGTATTAACTATACGTTTGAAATTTTTTTTTTTTTTTTTTTTTTTTTTTTTTTTTGAATTGTTTTTAAAATTAATTCATAATTTTGTATTTATATTTCATAGTTTATAGTTTTATAATAAATTTATTAGTTTTAAAAAATTATATTTTAATTTTAAATATTTATTTTTATAAATTCAAACTTTTCAAGATTACAAAACAGATGCTTTATTACTTACACAAGTTAAATACTTCAATAAACTTTAATAATCTACATTTTTGAATAATTCACTTTATGACAATCAATCAACGCTTGATATCTCATCAAGAAATTTGAATAACTTATTTTATAAGAGTTAATAAACTTCTAATATATGGTTGTGACTTTTAAATAATCTATTTTTAATAAACTTTAAATAGCATTATAAACTCTTTTCAGTAATCGTTCGAGTGCCTTTTTGAGTGCCCTAGGGTTCCATTATAGATAACTGTATTTATTGTTACTATTAGTGATATCTTTCATTAAAAGTAATTTATTCGATGATGATAGATAATAGATGATTCAATGATGATAGAAATATCTTGAAAAAAAGTAATTAGATGTTTAATTACCGCAAAAGTAGTTGATTGCTTGAAGCAATAGCTGTTATGTTTCAACTCAAATAAAACTTTGTTTATTACAGGAATTATCTTTTTTCTGATATTTCCAATATTTTACTCATCACTTATACACAAAATTTTGAAAATTTTGAAAAAAAATTTGAAACAACTTATCTAAAAGCAAAATTAAGAGGAAAATAAAGGAAAATATATTCTGGATTTTTTCCAGATGTTTTACCCAAACAATTTTTCGCATTTTTAAAAAATGACCTGAATGATCTATTTATTAGTTATTGAAATAAAATCCTCTATTTTTTCTATAACTGCAGCAGTTAACTTAACTGCTGCAGTTTATTGTAACTTAGTTAATGTAACTAAGTTACAATAAACTAATTGTAACTTAGTTACATTAAAATAATAGTAACTTAGTTACAGTAATATTAACATACCTACGTTTAGTTAACTGTAATTTTTGTTGAACATTCTCACAGATCACTTTATTATTTTAGTTTTTTTAGAATATGATTTTTTTCTTTTTTCATATAAAATACCAAAACGTAGATTAGATTAAATGCATTATTATGTTCAAGAAACTTTACTTTTTTTTTTTTTTAACTCTTTTGGTGTAAATTGAGCAGATTCTTTTGTTTATTCTTGTATCTGTGTTGAGTTTTTTTTTTTTTTTTTTTTTTTTTTTTTTTTTTTGTTATTCACCTCCTCAAGGTCGAGAAGGCCACTACAGACGAGGAGGTTACTTAATAGTGGTTATTACCCTCTCTCAACTCTATAATTCCGAAACACGAACCTTGACGAACAAGGCCGCTGCGCAGAGAAACAAGTTGAGCGCGGTACTACTAGGGACGTGGTGGGGATTAGTAAAAAGTAACTATATTCTAATAAAAGATACAACAGTTTTAGAAATTCATTATAGTGTGTAAGTTGTTTTGATTTGTAGCTTGGTTTTGGCAGTCTCCAAAAAAGCCACCATCTCCAATTCATTTTGATCCACAGAACCCATTGTATGTTATATATTGTTATTTATCATTTTATTGAGAATTTATTATTACTTAATGTAATTAAGTTTTTCAACTATATAGTGTTTTATGAATTCAACTACTAGGCATATTCAGTTTGTCACTAGCTATGCCATGTTACTTGCGAAAACGTATGGAATCTGGAGTGAGGTATGTCTTGTTACTTTAAAAAAAGTGAACCTGAAATGGGGCGTGTAGTTACCGTAGTTACCTTATTTGATTTTTTTTTTTTGAAAAATTTTTAAATGTTATAATTTTTATTTTTTATTTTAAAATTTCAAGCATGTTTCTAGGATTGTAAAAGTGTTAAGATCCCAGATGTCATCAAATTATTTCAGTTGCCAGAGTTTAATCCATCACAAAAGGTTTGAAGTAGTGTTTTAAGTAATTCTTTTGTTGTTGTTGTTGTTATTTTTTTTTTTTGTTTTTTGTTCAATTTTGGATCAAGACTTTGAAAATATTATCTACAAAAGTAAGATTCATGAATAAACTTTATTTTGAAGGCAACAATTCTTATGCTAATTTTTGTTAAGTGATATAAGAACTTTGTACTTTTTTTTTTTTTTTTTTTTTGCAGAAAGTTATAATTGAAGAGAACCAAGACAAAGAGAATAAAAATGTAAATTTGGACAAAGTTGGTGGTCTCATTCAGTATTTAAGTTCTTTGAAAGAGTTAGATGGTTAAATATTGTTTTGTTTGTGTGCCTGTGTGTGTTTATATTTTGCGAAACATATCTTGAAGAAACATAAATTAAAAAGTTTTTAAAAATTGATTCTTTCATTCTCAGCTATTTCTTTGTCTGTTGAACATTTTGAGAAAGACAACGATAGTAATGGACATCTTGATTTTATCTATGCCACAGCTGTAAGCTTTTTAATATATATTTAATTATAAATAAAATACAAATTACTTATTAAATAAGTAATTTCTATTTTATTAATGACTTGAAAATCTTAAAAATTTCTTTAATCTTTTTTTTTTTTTTTTAATCTTTAAATTTATCTTTTTTTAAAACTCATCTTGTTTAAAATTTGTTTATTTTTGTTTTAGAATTTACGAGCTATCATGTATGGTATTGAAAATGTTGATCGTTATAAAATCAAAAGAATTGCTGGAAGGATTATTCCTGCAATTGCAACAACAACATCTGTTGTAGCAGGCCTAGTGAGTTTGTTTTTAAATATTACTGTATAACTATAAATTACAGTGCTTTTTGTTGCAAAATTTAAAATGTAAAGTAAAATTAGAATTCAGTTTGTGTGAAGAAAATAATTTGAAATAAGGAATTTATGTTTTAAGGATAAATTAAATATAATTCATTTGTTGATGGCTTAAAATCTCTTAATTAAATGTGAAACAAATTGACTGATATTTTTTTTCTTTCCTACAAACTTTGTTTATTTAAATTGTTTTTTATTGCATTAGTGTGAAATTATAATCAGAGCAGAGTTCCTGGGTTTGGCATTGTTGTCAATTTGCCTAATATTTTCAGCTATTGCTTAAACATTATTATTTCAGTCAGATAGATGAATAGTTTTGGTTAGTGTATTTTCAATTTAATTCTTTTTAAAAAAATGTTTCAAATAAGCTTCAAAATTAAAATCTTTAATAAAAATTTCTATTTATTTAACTTTATTTAAAAATTTCAATAACAATAAGATTAATGTCTAAAAAATTAAAATACTTATTTAAATATTTTAATTACGAATTTAAAAATTTATTATAATCAAGTATTTACTTAAATTATAAAAATGGAGAAGTTTTTTACTTTATTTTTAAAAAAAAAAGTTTAACTCTTGAAAATCTACAGTTGTTAAAAACATAAAATCATGGTTTCCAGTGATTTTGGAAAGTTCTGGATTTCAATATCTAACTTGAAGAAAAGTCCTGATACTACCTAAGGCTTACTAAATTTTAATACAAAAAGTTTAGTTGTTTTATGGTTTTCTCAATGTATGTTTTTTTTTTTAATTTCTTTACTTCCAACAAGGCTGCAAGCAACCGCTATTAGAGTTGAAAGTTTCTGGAAGAGAGAAGATGAAGTTTATAAAGCAAGATTTGTTATCTTTAACAGGTGACTTGAAAAATTGCAAATTAAATGAATCAGGAAAACTAGATGAAGGAAGCAAATCCCACAGAACTGATATGTAAAGAAAAAAACTAGACAAATAAGAATTTTTGGAGCACATAGGAGCAATATCAGTAAAAGGATAAGACTTAATTGAATGACGAGTAACACGAGAATGAATTTGATTAAATGGCACAAGAGACACTTTAGAGCATCCGATAATAGTATTTATAAAAAAGAGAAAGTGAAGCAACATTACAGTTATGTGATAATGGTTTGAGGTTGGATGCAACTGCAGGTCCAACAATGTTTACAATGCGTTTTTGCATCTTGTCTAAAAGAGAAAGAGCATCATTGGAAGATCCGCCCCAGATATGGCAACAGTCTTTCATAAGAGGATAGATTTGAAATTTATAGGATAGATTCAGAGTAAGAAAATGAGGAGCACGATAAAGAGATTTTGCAGATGCTACGTTTGCAATCAATTTAATATATGTTTTCAAAGAAAGATTGGAAGTAAGAGTTAATCCTAGATGACAATAAATCATATATAGTATCAAGAACATTACCATTATGTGATGCAACATTATTATTATTTTTTTTTTCAAAAAAGACTTTCTTTTAATTAGAAGAGTAATGACCAAACCAAAACCATCAGTTGATGTGTCTTGTATATACCCTCAGTTGATGTATCTACATGTTGATTGTAACTATGCTTAATTAGTCGATTATTTAGTCAATGTGTACACTCTGTTAATGCAGTAGTTACAGCCAGTTAATGGACTGTTACGGCTGTATGTCAAGTTTGTGCTGTTATCAAACCTTTAAGGAAAGTAATATGCGTTTTAATCAGGGTTAAAAGAATGATACTGCTTGGTAATTTTACCCAACAGTTATTGATGGGGTTTAAATTAGACGAATTGGCTGGTATCAATTAAAACAGTAATCACAGTTTCTTAGAGTCATGTTGTCCTATCATGTTTTTAAAGATGCAGGAGTAATTTGTTCAGACTTGCTGTCTTCCATTAAAAGTTGTGTTTAAGCAAGTGATGCTAAAGCTCAACTTTTAAAACACAAGCTATACAGATAATGATTAAATTACAATTTTAATGTATATAGACCATATAAAATATTTTTCTGTTGTTTAGTATGCAACATGAAAAACATCATGGTTCGATGCTAGTTTAGCTATTTTTTGAGTACCAGATCAACCTGCTTCTCAAAAAAAGCAAAATTATATAATAACTTTCAAAATCGTAACTGTTTCATAAAAAATATACTCAATAAAATAATTTTAAAATTTGTAAAAATGTACTTTTTTATTTTTAGTTTATAATTAATAGTTTTTATGAAATAAAATTTAAAAGAATAATTTTTAGTTATTAATTTTGTAGTTTTTATATAATTTTGCTTCTTTTAAGTACCTGGTTTGAAATGCATTTGAAGAACTTTTTTACATATATATTAAGGACCCTTTAAATGTTCAAGGCTTTTGGAGCACCTCTAAACAAAATATTTTTTGTTCAAAAAATTTTAAATCCAGTGTTATTTTATTGCATAGAACACATTTAGAGGTCAGACAAGGCAGTTTTTAAAAATTGTTGTTTTCAATGTATCCTAATTTATATATTCGGAAGTACAATATATCAGGCTGGAATGCCGGAATTTATTTTTTACCTTTATTTTTTAAGACATGACACAGACTGTGTAAATTAAATTAAAAAAACCAGTGTCCTACAGAACAATGAAGAACTTTAGCTAAACCTAGGTAAAATGGTTTTAATAATTTTAATATAATGGTAAAGACTTAAGATATAAGTGAAAGCCTGAGGTGCAGGCTTTCACTATTATCTTAAGTCTTTACCATTATATTAAAGTGAATGCCTGCACCTTTTTTTACCTTAAGATTAAAGTGCAGTCTTTCATTTAAATCTTAAGGTAAAAAATAACAATGTTATAATCTATTGTTCTGGCTGGAAATTTTTATTGACAATTCTGACAAATCTGGCCGAATTTTGAAGTTTCCATTCTGGTACCCCTAATATATACATTGTGTGTGTGTATATATATATATATATATATATATATATATATATATATATATATATATATATATATATATATATATATATATATATATATATATATATATATATAGCACTATATGATTATATATGCTGTATTATTGTTGTTAGGCAACTCTTGAACTATTAAAAGTTGTTGCTGGTTGTTCTAGAGAAAGTTTAAAGAATTGTTTTCTGAATTTGGCCATACCTTTAATGGTTTTATCTGAACCAGCACCAGCTCCTAAAATAAAAATAATGTAAGTTTTATGTTGTTTATTTAATCAATATTAAGTTATTAAAATTTATAGACTTTTTAGTGAAGCATAAGTAATCATACTTTTAATGATTTTAATATTTGAGTAAAAAATTTCTTTTATTTTCCTTTTTTTATTATTAACAGAAACGATGTTCAGTTTACATGTTGGGACAGATGGGACATTCATGGACATAAAGATTATCGGCTAAAAGATTTTGTTGATTATTTAAAAGTAAAAATTTTATTTAAATTCATTTACATAAATTTTTAAAAAATTGATAATTTGTTTTTGTTGATAGAAATAAAACAGAAGATAAAAAAGGAATATAGAACAGAGATGAAATAGAGGACAGAATAAAATAGTTATGACAATGTTCTTTTACTCTTAATTATCGAATAAGTTGCAATTAATTTTTAATTTAAGTTGCATCTCTTTATCCAGCTCGACACTTTCTTACTCTGGATTCTATTCTTTATCTCTATAAATCTCAAATCCAACCTTGTATGGAATACTGTTGCCATATCTGGGGCGGATCTTCTAATGATGCCCTTTCTCTTTTAGACAAGGTGCAAAAACGCATTGTAAACATAGTTGGACCTGCTCTTGCAGCAAACCTTCAACCTCTGTCACATCGTTGTAATGTTGCTTCTCTTTCTCTTTTTTACAAATACTATAATGGGCACTGCTCTAAAGAGCTAGCGTCTCTTGTGCCATCTACTAAAATTCATTCTCGTGTTACTCGTCACTCAATTAAGTCTCATCCTTTTTCTGTTACTGTTTTTAAGTGCTCCAAAAACTCTTATTCGTCTAGTTTTTTTCCTCGAACATTTGTTTTTTTTTTTTACGATAAAAAACAAAAAAAAGCAATTGTAAATAATGCATTTTTATAAAAACATTTATTTGAAAAAAAAATTTAATATGAAATACTTGAACTCTCTTGTGTTTATCTATTAGGTTGGTTTATATTTAGGTCAAAACTTTTTTAGTCTAAAATGAAAACTTATAGGTGCGCCCGTTTTATATATGAGATTTTTATCTTATAATTTAAAATTAATAATTTAAATGTTTAAGGGTGCCACTATATTTTTCTTTATATTCTTACAAGTAATTTAAAAAAAAATCAGGCAATTTTTCTATAGAAAATTTTTATCAACACTGGAGAACTTATAGAAAAAGCTGAAAACATATATATATATTTTTTTATAAAATTTAACTAGTTAAATCAAATTATAAATAAGCTATTAAAGTTTATTACTTTATTTGTGAGACTAAATATAAGAATGGATCCAGTTTATAAAAGGAGAAGGGTAAAAAAAATTAGCTTTAGCTTTTGTTTTAGGATTTTTTAAAGGAAAAATTTTATATTATTTATTGTGGGATTATTGAGGAAAATTAGTTATATAAAGATTTAGGGTCGTCAAACCCCAAAATATGATTTTTGGGGTTGTCAAACTCCAAAACATTATTAATTTTAAGGTTGTCAAACTCCAAAACAATAATTTTTGGGGTTGTCAAACCCCAAAATGTGCCGAAAAAGGTTTTTAAAAATTATCTTTTTGGCCCGTTTGCCTCCCTGAATCATTTTCAAATTTAATAAAAGTAGAAAAAAGTTTCTTATAAATCAAGTGTATCTTATGAGCTTCCACTCTAGTCCAAAAAAGATTTTAACGTAAATATGAACTTCCTTAAACCGTTATCTATAAAGCATTGTAATCCCATTGAATAAATTTTTTAGAAAAAATGCGGATTAACAGTCAACATGGTATGTCAAGGTTTAAAGATGATATATATTCCATTTATGCCTGGTCATCCAAAACGCCTTAATAACTTGTAAGAGCTTTATATATATATATATATATATATATATATATATATATATATATATATATATATATATATATATATATATATATATATATATATATATATATATATATATATATATATATATATATATATATATTTATTTTCGATTCTTTTTTTATTATTATTATTTAAATCACTTTTTTGTTTTTAATTTTTTATTTAATTTTGAAAATTGTTTTAATATTTGTTTATTTACAACTGTTTTTAATGTTTTTTAAATTATAATTTTTTAAGGATGACTGATCTGCTGAAACCTAGTAAAGACACAGCATATATTGATTTGATTGTTGCATTTCAGGATCCAGAATTAAATTCTGAAAGTGATCTACCCTCTCCCCCAGTTCGATATTATTTTTTGTAAATCCTAGTTTTATTAAAATGCGTACTTTGATTTTCTCTAATTTTTATATTTTAAATTAATTTTGCAAAGTGAATTTTTGAACTTTTTAAGCTGATGAATCTTAATGCTTTCAATGCTGCTCAATTCGTATCCGTTCAATGAACTGATACGCTTTTGTGTTTTAAATAAATGTTTTGATGTTTGTTTTTTTATTCGTCTTTTTTTAATTTAAAGCATCTTTTTCTTTTTATTTAATCATAACAAAATGACGTCATTCTTTAACGATATCATAGCGATTTCAAACGATAATACTGATTGTATACGTTGTTGATATATTAGTTATATTTCTGACATCATAGTTAATTTGTGTTTTTTTTTGTTGTTTTTTTTTAGCTGTTGTTATCAGAAACAAACAAATTTTGTTTTTTAAATCTCAAATTTTCAAAATGTTTTGTATATTTAAAACTTTTATTAAAATCTTTACTTCCTTTTCTCATTAATTTCGTTTCATTCTGTTTCAGTGGTTTTACGATATTTCACATGAGCTTGTTTAGGGATCGTCCATAAATTTCGTCACGCAGCTTTTTGACATTTTATGTATAAAAAATGCCAAAAAAATTGTATAAATTAACATCTCTATCCGAAACATGATACCAATTTAAAAAATCTATTCTTCCGATATATAATACATACAAAATATATATAGTATATAATAATTTTAAAAAATATTCTTTTATAAATACAATTTTCTTACATCTAGCAACGTAAGCGTGGTAGAGTGGATTCTGCCTCCGGCTAATTAACCAAAGGTTCCAGGTTCGTTTCTCGGTATCGAAATTATTTAGTTTTTAGTTAGCGCACAAAGAATGTTTTATTGTTGCTGCACACTTTTGTGCACCAACTAAATAAAATTCTGTACTTTAGCCATATAAATTCAAAGCGCAGAACGTGCACTACACATACGTTTTCTTTTTTATAGGCACCCATTTAGGGCGGCTTTGGCCTATTTTGCACAATAGAAAGTATAAATTTTCTTTCGTATTATCTTAAAATAGTTTTATAAATAATGCAAATGTTTAGATTAAGGTGGTAAACCACTAATAAATTCAAATCCTTCAAAAATTACATTTTAGTATTTATTTACTTATAAAATGATTAAAGTATTCAATTTAATGACAAAATAATTTTTTTAATTTTATGGTTTGGGAAATTTGGTCCTAGAAACCCCAAAATAGATTCATTACGTTGCGGTGAATATCTCAAAAACTTTTGATGCTATCGACTTGAAATTTTTTTTTTAATTGCTTATAATATAATTATGCAGATCCTGTACTAAAATCAAAAAAAAAAAAAAAAAAAATCGACAGATTTTTTTAAATAAAAAACTCTTTAAGAAAAAAAAAAGTATTTTTGACCATATTTGGAAAGTAAAATCTTTTTTTCTGATTATCACAATATAATAAAAGTAGCAGGGGAGATCTATGACAACAAAAGGAACAACTCCTGAAGATTTCATAAAAATTGGTCAACAAAATAATGAGATATTCACTGCAAAGTCTTGAGTTTGAAAGAACTAAGAAAAACATTGAAACAAAAAACGCGTTAACTCCTTCAGATTAATAAAAAACTCACTTAAAAATTCTGTTGACAAATGTTATCTTATTAAATGTTATCTTATTAAATGTTATCTTATTAAATGTTATCTTATTAAATGTTATCTTATTAAATGTTATCTTATTAAATGTTATCTTATTAAATGTTATCTTATTAAATGTTATCTTATTAAATGTTATCTTATTAAATGTTATCTTATTATAAAAGTGTTGGGCAGTAGAAGTAAAGCAAAAACTACTCTAAGCAAAAATATTGATAATATTATTAGACAAAATAATTTTTCTAAAGTAATTTAGTTATTAAAAAAAACAGTCTTTTTTTTTTTTTTATTTATTTTTTTTTTCTTTGCCGTTTGATAAAATTTACAATAAGAAAGATCGTACATATATAATATATGGCCGGAGCAAGAAGAAGACGTATATTGTCTTATCGCCAAGCCCCGTTTACATTGTTGCCTTCAGTTTATGTAACAAGTTAAAAATTACAAAATACAACAATATATTACAAGTAGTAAATCGTATAATAAGATATATAAATAAACATTTTTTATTTATTTATATATATATATATATATATATATATATATATATATATATATATATATATATATATATATATATATATATATATATATATATATATATATATATATATATATATATATATATATATATATATATATATATATATATATATATATTATTTATAGATAAGAAAAAAAAAAAAGACAAAAATAAGAGAGTCGTGACTTTTTCAGTTTAATTATTTTAGGTACTATTTTTAAAAGAAATTTTTAAAATCAAAGTTTTTTCCTAATAGAAAAGTCTAGATTCTTTTTTGAATTGTTCTAGGGAGAAGTTTAGAAGAGTTTTATTTTTAATAATATTTTTCAAAAAACTTCTCCATATAAATGGTCCACGGTATTGAATTTGAAATGAGCTGAGTTTTAAATAAGATCTTGGAAAAACAAACATATCAACTGAAAATTTTGTGGGGTATTTATAAGTAATTTCAGTGAAGTAAGAGTGAAATATATTAGGAGACAAACCATGGTTTGATTTAAACATTAGAAGCATAACTTGGTATATATTAATTTTATAAACATGAAGTGCATTAAGTTCGCTTAGAAGAGATTCACCATTAACAGTTCTGTTAACGCCAAATATAATTCTACATGCATGTTTTTGTTTGCTATAGATTTTTTTAAGTTTCCCATAATTAGTACTTCCCCATGCAATATTGCAATAAGAAAGATAACTATGAATAAATGAAAAATATATAATTTTTAAAGACTCAATATTAAGAAATGGTTTAATTTAATATAACATTGAAATATTTTTGGAGATTTTGTTTTCAATAGATTTAATATGATATTTCCATGATAAATTTTCATCTATAATCACTCCTAGAAAGTTAACAGTTGACTCTCTTTTAATAATTGTTTTATTCATAAAGAGATTGGGTAATTTTAGAGAAAGGTTATCTCCCCTACGAGGTTTGTGGAACAAGATAAATTTAGTTTTCTCACCATTTAATGTAAGTTTATTATTTGTAATCCAGTCATTTATTTTTAATAATTCTTCGTTAGATATTCTAAACAGTTCGATTTTTCTAAGATATTCTAAACAGTTCGATATTTAGTTTCGATTTAAAATTTTAATAAAATTTAAGTAAATAATAGCTTCTATTAAATAAATATAAAGTAAATTTAAACTAAAATTCTTCAGCACCATAGCTTCTCTTCATTCTTGTCCAAAAAGCCTTTACGAATACTTGATAGTTGTTTTCGTCTCTTTTTTTACTTTTCGTCATATTTTTTCTCCGTATTTTTTATTCTTTTTAAATTAAAAGATGCTAAAAAAACTGAATAATAATGTCCCGGTTTTAAATAAAGTTTTTCAAAAATTTTATTGATACCAATAAACCCATCATTCAAATTAATAATGGCAGAACAACAACCTAAATTTAATTTGTCAATTCCAAAATAAACATCTTTAAGACAATGTTTCCAAATCAAAGCATTTTAAGACTGATTATTATTATGTACTGTATGACAAGCATACAATAGTCCTCATTGACTATTGTATGCTTGTCATGCAGTACATAATATTTTCAAACTTATTTATTCAGTTGCTGTATTTATGCTAGCTTCTGCTATGTAATTGTAACAGTTGGTAATTTCTTTACATAACGATTAAAAGAAGATTTGTTCATAGGATCGGGCATGTTCATTAAACTACAAAATTTTTCTATACTAGAGTATCCTTTACCTATTTCTCGAAAAACTATTATCGCTCGTAAGTTAATACCAAAAGTTTTTGGACCCACTGTTGCTGGTTTGCCTATAGTTTTGCTGGAATAAAACCTCTGCTCCAAGTTGCAAGAAATACACGAAATAAGTGGTCGGTGTGATAAATTATTTTTATTTTTTGCATAATGATAAAAGGATACATTTGCAGAAGACTTTGGATAGCGGCCGATGGTTTCATGTAATATGTTGATGTTCATGAAAATGTAGCAGTCATTTGAAACATTGAACTGTTCATGCTGAGAAGAATTACTATCATTATTTACAACATCTAAAGAAGATTTACTGCTGAAACAGGAAGAAAACATGTTCAATTTTTATTTTAGTTTTTATTTAGCATTCAAAATAAAAACTAAAATAAAAATTGAACCGTTAAACGGTAATAATTTTACCGTTTTCTATAAAACGATAAAATTATTACCGTTTTATAGAAAAGTAATTTAAATGAGGTCTTTTTTTTTTCATATAAAATTAACTCGAAATTCGTAATTCGTAAAATTATATTAAAATTATATTAAAACAAACTATAATTGAAAAAACAATTTTTTTAATTTTTAATAGTGGTCTACCATTAGTAACTAATATTTTTACGAAAAGTTTAATAAAGATTTATATGCAATTATTATGACTGAATCGTCATACGCCGAACATGTTATGAAACCGCCATCCTCGGTAAACTAAAATCTTTTCTATTTATTAACTCACAGCAAATTGCTACATTTTGAAAGCCTCAATTGTCCTGCTTGCAAGCAAGTTACTATTACTATTACATTTTATTTTTAATTCATTTATTTATAAAAAACACATGTGTGGTTTTTGCTGACCATCACAAACTTCAAACAAAAGTACAACATTATTTTGAACTTAACAAGTTTATGATTGAAAATAAAAGTATGTAAATTGTCTGCAAGATAGTAATAAATAAGGAAACAAAGTATATGATATATAAAATCTATTCTTCTACATCTTTAGGGCAGTCGTCTTCTTTGGTAGTTAGCTACTTGAAAATATTACTGTAAAAGTCTTTGTACTCAACAACCACACCCAAGTGGAAATATTGGATGCAAAAAAAATTTTACCAGAAACCGAATACATTTTTGAAACCTCCATACCTTGTACAGTTAAAACTAAATTATGAAAATACTCTGTTAATATCTTACTAAATAAAAGGAGGTTAAATGAGTCCTGGATTTTCAAAATAATTATAACGTAACGTCAAGTAACGGTGTTCAAAAAAGGTAACTTTCAGAGATGATGCAAACTTAAAACTTCGTAGTATTAATACTGGAGTCATATATACTATAATAGTGCTTAACAAAAAATAACAGCGATTGGAGCCTGGGAACAAGCTTAATCTAAAAACTAGGGTCTCTGGCCCCTTCAAGGACGGATCCATAGAGGTAGGGGGGGGGGATCGATGGGAACAACTGTTGCCCCCCAT